ATCAAGTTGGTGCACCAATGGAAAGAGTAGCCGTCGACTGTTCGTTTAGAATTTCGAGCAAAGCTACACGAGGGCTATCTGCACTCGCCGTCCCTAATTTAGCAGTGAAAGACCAGAGGGAAGGCAGCTAGTCATCACCGTCTACCGCCAACTCTTGGACTACTCTTTTTACCAACGAATAGTGGGATTGACCCTCACATTAAAACGCCCCCACGGCTGCAAGAGCGAGCATGTTTGGTGTGACAGGGATTCGAACTCACGAACCGCAGATTGCGAGTCGAGCGCTCTAACCACCTGGCCATGCTGGGCAATGGTTTCATTTAGAGGTATATTAGTAAAGAGGGAGGTAATGTTAAAGTTGGTCATAAAGTGTTTTTTGGAGGGGGCTAGTTGACTTAATTCATGTGCAAACTGGAAAGAATCAGGAATAGTGAATTAATTGGTAGTGAGTGGTTGTAGTATAGGTATTAGGAATTTCGCAAGTTTGTAAGTATGTGTGCTTAAGCCTGAAAAAATTGGTCGGAAAGGGTGCCTGCTTTATGAATTTTAAAAGACCATATAAAATACCAGGGCGGAGCCTTTCGGATAAAATGAGGCAGCGACATTTTCGGATATGATATTTTTGTTTTTGAGTTCTCTTAGATATCTTTGGATATTTTCTGCACGTTGGATGGCAAGCGACAAAGAGTATTGAAATTCTAAAAAGTAGAAAGAGCAAAGTTTTTTTTTATTTTCGTAATGAAATAACCACTGGATTGACCAAGAGTTTCTTTATCGTACATTGGAAGGTTTTTTTTAAGTTTCTGTATAGCAATTCGAAAGGGTAAAGAAAATTAGCAAAATTCGGTTTATGTGGTGAAAGAGAGAAATTAAGACCTTTAGTTGGGCAGATTTACATTTATTATTTAGTGTAAGATTACTTAGGTTAACAATCACTCTGAAATTTCGCTCATACAAGATACTTTAAAACGTAATGGCTATACACAACATCTATTACAAATAATTACTAATGCTTTTATAACTAAGAAACTCGCTAATTTACCCAGACTACTAACTGTATCCAAACTTACAATATCTCTCATCTTCTATACCTTGGTAAACAAAGCTTAACTTTAAAAAGACAAATTAAACGCGTTATTCATCGTTACTACCCCAAATTGCTTTCTGATTAGTTTTTAAACCCACAACTCGCATACAAGATTTTTTTTCCGTACTAAAGACCGTCTCCCAATTTCTCTTTGTTCATGGCTTGTATATATTTACATGTGTGGAGACTGTAAGGCCTCCTTCATTGGCAAAGCCAAACGCCAACGACTACTACTAGCTAGAGCCAATAAATATGTGGGAATTTTTATGAAAACACAAAAAAGTTGAGAAACCGCTGTTTTTCCACTATACGCCAACATAGTGAAGAAACAGAACTTAATTTATCAAATTTCAATGTTCTTTGCAATACCAACATTGATCTGGAATTACTGATTAAGGAAACCCTCAACATCAAACAACTTTCACCAACACCGAACAACATGTCTTCGTTCAAATTGCACATTTTCTAATATGTACAGTATTTTGTTTGTTACTCATATAATTTTTATGCCGTTATAGTTTTTATTAAATTACTGTTATTATAGCTTTGTTATTACTGTTATTATAATAATTACTTATTACTTACTTAGGAATAGTGAAATTCTTTTATTTTGCTTCAGACACTGAAGATGGAATTTGTTGAATTCCGAAACGTTTATCTGTGTCTCCTTGTCTTATCAATAAACAATGTTGTTTATCTTAAGTATCGTTGTTCTTTATATTGTTAAACTTCGATTTACTCCGAACACATCAATTACTATGGGCATTTTGTCGCTGAGCAGAGAAATTATGAGAGTCGCTCGAGCGATTTCCGTACCTTAATCGTTTTGGGTATATGATTGTAGTGTAATCGGCGTGAATTTACTATTCTGCGGAATATTTATCCATCCACGCTTTACCAAGTGCCATTTGGATACACTAGGAATATTGTGTAAAGTTTTGGTCTCATCCGATGTTTATTGTAATATTTGTATGAGGATAGCTTAATATCTCATAACAGTTGACTTATTTTCTCTTGAGAAGGAATAAGGTAGGACTAAGAGGTTACCTTATTAAAGTTTAAATCTAAAGGAGTGAAAATATATAAAGGCAACTGATTTCTTTATGCTAAATACTGAGAATGTGAGATGACAGAAGTTTAAGATTTGGAAAAGAAATGTTTGGCTCTGCTTTATACAGTTTTATTTGTAGACGTGTTTGTTGACATGAAATGTATTTGAGTTATAGTCAGTGTTAAGTTCACAATGTTAATTATAAACTTGTCACACAATTCATACCTGCAAAACTTTCATGTCAGGAAACTTTTATTTTTCTAATACTAACAGGATTATTAACTTTTGTGATGAGTTTCCACTGACAATAGTGGAGGCCAATTGATGATGGAAAAGCAAAGGGTGGTTTAATTTTATTTCTCCTTTTATTTTGTTCAAGTTGGATACAGCCTTGAATGACTAAATGGCTATTGAACTTGTCTGTATGTTACATTAACTTAAGATGTAAGAATCTCACCTGTTGTAAGATGCAGACCATTATATTAAAAATTCAGTTTTTTAGGAAATGTCCTTATAATAGATACTTTGAGGAATATGCATTAATGGAATTATTTCTGAAGTACTAATAGTAATACTATATAATAGATACCATGACAGATTTAGAATTGTTATGCACAGTAGTAGCTTTCTAGATCCACTCTCAGCTTTTATCAACTGTCACCAATAAGGTAATACATGGACAACAAGGGACCATTTGGTTCATCAAGGCTATCCTTTCACACCCAACCTTGAGAAAAGTTAAGATTTTAAACCCACACTTTATTTTTTAGGAAATTATCAATTGTCTACTTAAACACTTAAAAATGCTGGCCTCTACTGTTAATTGAAACTTCTTACATAAGTCCATTAGAAACATAAAACTATCTTAACTGTAGCCTAGCCTATCTTTCTAAAATTTTGTATTCTCTCATATTAATTTTTCAGAATATAGTAGAAGGAAACAGAAACTTCAATAAAATAACCTCTCAGCTTCCTTTTTTCTAGAGAAAATATGTTGAAATTTTAACATAATCCAGAGTTGTTCAGCGTAAGCATATAGTATTACAGCTCACAAAAATAATTAACTAATCAAAATTAGTGTTTATAATTATTACTATTTTGGTATTCTAGCTATCTAAATCTCATGAGAATAATTGATTAGCAAATAATACTAATCATCCAGCTTTACTATGCATGAGAAAAATTAAATTATTTAGATTGTTTAGACTGTGTAATACTAATAGTGCAATACCAAAAGCTTGATTATTATTTGTTACTAGATAGTTGTAATTTCATAATCATAGCATTAATTTTGTTTTTACACGTCACTCTCTCTCTTTCTATTTTTTTAACATTTTACATTATGCATATTTTGGATATGCACTTACATACTAAATGTCCAACTTTCTTGCACTGTAATTAATGAAAAAATATTGTATATTGTACAATGCCTAATTGCAAAATTGTATATTCAGGGAGGCTTAGGTTACATGTATGTGTTTTATTTTCAAGAGATAACTTCACTAACAAGAGATTAATTTGTTTATCTAGACCAGTGATGTTGAAAGTTTTAGAATGCTTGGCCACACTGGCAAATTAAAAAATGTATGCACCACAAGTATTAAATTAGATGGAATTAAATCACAATTGACAGTAAAACATGAGTTAAATAATCAGCAGCAGAAAGAAACAGAGGCCTTTATATGCTTGATTTCTTGGATAATCATATAAACTTCAATAAGATAACCTCTTAGCTTTCTTTTTTCTAGAAAAAATATGTTGAAATCTTAACTTAATCCAGGGTTGTTTAGCTTAAACACTTAGTGTTACAGCTCACAAAAGTAATAACTAATCAAAAGCAGGGTAAGTTAAGTGTCTGCACAAAGTGTCAATTAAGGGGTGGATAATTCCACTTTGAATCCCTTGGCTCTATTAGTTTTCATTGCTCACTTAACAAACACACAACACATTAAAAAAGTGCAAGTTGTTATTTCAATTTCTGTTTGCAGGCTGTAAAAATACTGTTGCTGAGCTAGTTCTGGCCAATGGGTCATTCTTTGAATGTTTCTGATCTAGACAGTCCCATTTTCTCCAACCACTACTCTAAGCTACATACATTTGTATAAATGTCCATTTTCATACGTCTAACACTGATATTCAAGTACTGATACAGTATCTTCTGAAACTCCTTCATTGTTTCAGCTTTTGCCCATCTGAAGGCAAACTATTTGGTGGTTGATGTACCTGTTAGAAAAGTCACCTACCATAACTGGATCATATACTTGTATCCTCTAGTCTTACTGCCTGCCAATTTTCATGTGAAAATCTCATGTAAGTTTATGAATTCCAAACACTTAACAACTTTAAATACCTCAGGTATATCCCCCAGCCCTTCTCCTTTCCAGGAAAAACATGTTAAAATATTTCAATCTATCATCATATGATAATCCATCATGGTAGCTCTTCTCAGAAGCCTCATCAACGTAATAAATGTTATTTGGCCCACACACATTATCTTCCTTAAATTTTCTTGTCTTCAACCTTTCCAACTTTATCATCATTCTCTCACAGAATTATTTAATCCACTGTTTTGTTATTGTAATATGTATCACAGAGATGTTGTGTATCAAAATTAATTTTAAGTGTGTTTGTGCTATTATAATGTTTTTGTCGTCTATGTTTTCAAGCCATATCTTCAGCAAGCTGTGTGTAATTTCTCTACCTGCCTAATATCAAAGTAAACAAATGTTGGTGTAATGTATGTGTGTGTATATATATAAATAAATAGCTTTCAAACTATTGATTACATTAATTGTTAATAGGTAATTGAACTAGCACTTTAAAACAATAAGAAATTAAATATTGCATCATAAATATCAATAAGTTGACAACCTGGACCGAAAACGGTAAAGTAATATATATGTGTGTGTAGAATTAATACAGAAGTCATTCTCAATGTTTGATTTTATGAAATATGGATATTTTCTAATTCTGTGTTTTTATGAGGTTCTTCTTTCAGCATTGAGAAAGAAAAATAATTCACATGATTGCTGAAAATATCTGAAAATAGTTTCCCTTGTAAAGAAAGAAAAAAATCCCTTCTTGTATTGGGCATATTTTTAAGTGGATTATTTTTGTTTTTATATTTATTTTCCATTGCTTTATTATATAGTGAAATATATATACACACATACACATGTAAACGTTTAAAAATTGTTCTTTTCTTGTGGTTATCAGAAATTCTTGTCAATTTTTCTTCAATAACTACATTAGAGGTTAAGTTTTATTTCCAAAACTTAAAACTGCAGTTATTAATAATGTTGGTCATGTAAATATCTTTTCTGTTTAACAAAAATAAAATATCAGTTCACAGTTTATTTGTAGTATAAATATTGGATATTCTTTAAGATGTAAACATTCCATTTCACAGTACAAGTTGAAAAGAATATTTAAAGCATCTATTATTCCTTTGCAGATAGAGTAGAAGGTAAGAGTTTTCTCTAACTGGTTGATTAAGATGCCTACAATAGTACCAGGTAAGACTCAGTTTTTTGTATCATGACATTGTTTATGCTAAAAGTATAAAGTTAAATTTATTAAATGTTTCAGAAGGAAGAAGGGTGAAAATGAGTCAGTGGCTTAGAATAGTTTTGTACATTGCTTGTCTGTTGTATATTTTATATTTCAGTTATATTTGTAATTAATAATTTTAAAGCACACATTGATATTTAAAATTACTTTTTTTTGTTATAATTTAATTTTAGAAATATGTGTAAAATTGTAAATATAAAAAAGTCAAAATATAGGACATTAGTAGAAACTCCCAGTGAACCACATTTTGATTTTTAAATTCACCCACTGACATTAATAATAGTTATCACAAAGAATACTAAAAGTTCAACATTAAAAGAGTCGTGGGAGAAATTATTTCTTGGCATATGAAAGGATATTGATAAAATACTATAAAAACATGTACATTGCACACAAGCTTAATCTATGGACAACAAAGGATCTGTTGGTTCTAGGCCATCTCTAAACACTAAACATCACTAAACTAAACTTTAGAAATAAAACACTGTGTTAGCCTTTATCATTCAAATAATTACCAAGCCTTCTTTTAAGTGAATTGTATCCACCACATCTGAAGGCAACCTATTTCAATGGCCAGTCATCCTGTTAGCAAAATAAAGTTGTCTTAGCTGAAGATAACTCCTACCCTGCCAAAATTTATATTTGTGTACAATACTTATCATTAAGTGTGAAAAAAGATGATGCATCAACACTATCAATTCCCTTAACAATTTTAAACATCTCAATCAGATCCCCTCTAACATTTCTTTGTTCAAGAGAAAATAATTTCAGAAGTCTTAACCTGTCCTCATATTGTAACCTTCTCATTCCAGGTGTAATTCTAATAGCCCTTCTCTGAACCCTTTCAATGTCCTTGTCAAGGTAAGGAGCCCAAGACTGAACACAGTACTCCAAATGTGGCACACCAGCAACCTGTGAAATGAAATTGTAACCTCTTTACACTTGTATTCCATACTAGCTGTCCTTACCCGGTCTTGCCTGGGTATTACCTGAACAGAGGGCCAATGTTTAGCTATTTTAAACAGAAATGGTCAACATTTTGCTTTTCATGTTACAATCATGTCAAATGGTCATATTTCTGTGAGATAAATGGCTTAAGAGCATAAAAATTAAAGAAAATAAATGAAATCATAGATTAACTGCATAGTTCACCCCCCACACCCCCAACAATCATTGAAATGCCTCTGGATAAACCACATATTTATTTTCTTGTGGAGTTTCATTGTCACTTTTGTTGCATACATTTTGCTGCTTGTGATTGACAATCAGAATTCTTTTACTTGACATTTTACATCAAGGTACATAATCAGTGTCAGAAATGTTTATCATACTTAACTCCTCTCTCTCCTCCCAAAATAAAGTGAATAAAACAAATTTATTTTTGTAGAATTTTGCAGGCTCAACTTGTCTATTCTATAAAAAAAGTTAGTATTGTTTGTCCATAGACACGACAGCGTGATGGATTTTTATTCTGACACCACAACAGCAGCACATATATCTATAAAATACACAATGTTTTTCTGATGTTATTTCCACTTTAATCAGATGAAAAATCTGGTCTGTCTTCTGTGGAAAAAAATTAGATTTTGAGGTTTTCATTGACACTAAAAATTTGACATCACGGACATTAAACCTGAGTACACTTATTATGATACAGTACATTACCTTCTCTCACATAAATAGCTATTCTCATTCAGTGCTGCCCTCTAGATGAAAAAAAAATTGTGCATGCCACAAGTCTTGAATCTCTCTCCCACATCTGGAATTGACCGATTCCAATGCATCTGTTTGGGGTTATGGATTGATCAGTCCCACCTCAATCACTTCTTGGATTTACTCCATTTTCATATGTAGGCTTTGATCACATTTGGGTTTGCTATTTCTGTATGTTGGGGTATTGCTACAGTACACATTTTTATTATCCATTTTTATCTATTGGCTTCTATCACTCACCAGGGGGACATTCTTTCTTGTTCCTTTTCTGCACATGTGTCTCCTGGAGGGTCATGTTCCATATTTTTAACCTCTAGTCCCATGACATTTTCTTCCTAGGAGTGACCTCTCAATTCTCCAAATTTTTTAGGACTCTACCTCCTGTGGGGTACTCCTCCACATGATGATTTTGAACTTATCAATTCCCAAGTAATTCCCTCTTTTGTTTTTGGCCTCTAGTTCAACATCCCCTTGCCCTGGCTGTTGATATGTTCAGGAAGGATTACATCTAGATTCTCATATTAGTTTTTCTCTTTCCATCAGTTGTTTTTCCCAAAATGTTTATACATCTTTGTCACTCTGCTTCAGGTCTTTCTAATTGATTTCCTGGCTGGCACAAAGCTGGGTTTCTCTTCTCTTTTGGCTTTATTGTTTCCTTTGTTCTGGATCATTTTTGTTTACCTCTATTTCATGGCTCATGTGGTATATTCCTGTAGACTTTTCTGTTTCTTACCATATCTACTTTTCTTCTCAGTTGGTTCCAGATAACTTTGTCAGTCCAGTACATGCTTTGGGTTGCTTCATTGTTTTCAAGGTTTTTCCATTGAATCCATCTCCCACGATTTCCTTCCCTTACTCCACTGCTTTGTCTGTGCTTTTTTTTTCATTACTCCCTGACCAGTTGGATTTTGATTGTGGTTTGATTGGCCTTTTATTCCTTGTATCTTCCCATTATCGATTCCACATGTTTTCACTCAGATCTTGCACCTTTTATTTCCCTGCATATTCAAGCTGTTGTCCACTTGAGGTACTTCATCTGTCAATTACTGGGACTACTACTCATATGTTCATCTCCCATTCTTTACTTTGGGTAGCTGTTTCTTCCTTGTCAGGGTATCGTCATTTATTTGTTGTCATCCTTCACTCTTTCCTGAGACTATGACTTGGTAAGTTACCTTTTAGTGTATATACTTCTTATTTTCAGGGGCATTTTTTCCTTAAGGATCCTGCTATGTGGTAGTTGGTGTCTCTCCAGATAAACTTAAACTTGTAAAAGCTGCACTGTAAGGCCATGATGACTTAACCCTTATAATTCCATGGCCACACAATGCACACTGCGGAGATAGGGTGTCCCACAAGTTTACTTGTAGGTTTATCCTTGCGATAGGTTTGTTTCATAAGTTCTCCTGTCCCAGACTGTACTCCCCCATGGACTACATGGACAAGCAGACAGGGATAGCTGCCCATCCCTGCCGTGCCTTGTATTGAATAAATCAGTATGGTCTGCTTTTCAAAATAGGGTTTCATGGTCACCCATTGCACTGTCTCAGGTGTTTTCGTTCCTCCAGACTCTTCCCCCTTTTTCTTCTAGTGGAGTTCAAGAGTCTTTACCACTTTTCAGTTTCAAGCTGCTGGGGTGATGGACTGTGGAGGCATCCTCCTGAATGTGGTAATGAAATACAAATAATATATATATAAATGATTATAAAACCATTCAATTGAGAATAGGGTGATGGTGTTCTGCTGGTGTAGATGACGAGATATCCTCCACTATGTAACAAGGGAGTGAGCTGTGGATATCAGTTCCCAGTGGCTGGGTTTTGGATTTAGAGTTGAACCAATCTACGTAAGTCCTCACACATGTATTACAGATGTCTCTATTCCCTCACTCATTTCTACTCTTGCTCCTCCATCAGTGTAGTGGGTCATGGTGGAAGTACTTGCAGATTACTATGGTTCTTCCCCATCCACTATCCCTCAATGATTATTATTCCAAGGATGTTACTGTGCTTGAGGCAGTTCCTGTCATTATATATTTGAGTGAGATGATTTACATTACATAGACATCTTTTCGATGCCGGATTCCGAGATTGATCATTCAATTTCTCACATTGTTATAAAAGAACAACATGTTCCCATTCATGGATCAGGGGGTACGAGATTCCCTCTGGTCTTATGAACTTGAGGTGGAGATGGTATAATCCTCTTCCTATCCCCACCAGATGGCTGGGTTTTGGATTGTAGTTGACTTGCCACAAGTATGATCCTATTTTCTACCACACATGGATGTCAGTACTTGGTGGCCAGGTTTTGGATTGTAGTTAACTTACTGACTATATGACCCTCATCCTACCCTGCATGGATGTCGGTTCCTGGTGGCAAGGGTTTTTGGATGTAGTTGGATGCTTCTTTCTTTCCCTTGCACAAGGTAATGTATCATATCAGAAATTATAATTTTTCTATTCTGAAAATGTATTTGTGATAGGTTCAAACTCTCCACCTTTCCTCCCCACCGAAACCTGGTGCTTTCAGTTTCTGCAAAAACTTGAAGTGATAGTTTGGTTGAATTGAATAGAGGGAGTCTCATGCGACAAGAGAGTATATCGCATTCTTATTGGTGGAAGATTGTCGCATGATGATTTGCATGCAAGACGCATTGAAATCAGTCAATTTCAGATGTGGGAGATTCAGTGCATATAGAGGGCAGCACTGAACGAGAATAGCTATTTATGTGAGCGAAGATAAGTACCTATCGGAAATACATTTTCAATATAGGAAAATTATAACTTCCATATCTGTATAGACCTACTATTATAGGGGTGAAAGATGTGAACAAACACAATGAAGAAAGTGTTGCATCATTTGTATCTCCTTCAATTTTTTTTAAATAAGTTTAAATTTGTTTTTTTGCTGCACGGGTAATAACTACTTTTATTAAAAAGATTCTTTATCAGTTTGAAAGTAAGAAATTGTATTTGTTCAAACACACAATCACTGAAAGAACTCTTAAGTAATAAAAATGCAAAAGTACCATTTTTGATACAACTTTTTGATCGATATATAAGTCTAATTTATTTTTATATAAGGTTTTAATTGTAAATGATATAACTTTATAATAGAATTCCTTAACCTCACACACACACATTTTGAAAGTAGTTTTTTAAATACAAACAAACATTTATATATAATCATTTCTGCCAATAATATGAATTCTAACACTATTATGTGTGGTTTACTTTAAAAAGTATATAACAGTTTTGTAACAACAGGTTTTTAAAAAACGTTGTTGGGAATAAAACCTAAACTCTTGTTCAGTCCTTGATTTCACAATCACTCTCTCAGCTAGCCAAAGTACTCAATTTACTTTGTAATATAAAATCAAATACAATATTTAGAAATGTACACAAACACAGTATCTGTGTGGATTTGATATAAAATTAAATTTAATTTTACAATATATTATCTAAAGTATGAAATATTTCTTGATTTTTTTCTCTACATAATACCTATAATTGTATTTTCCTTATGTTTATTATATCAAAGCTATTGATTTATATTTTATATTCATCATAATTCTATGTATTTAATAACTTTATTACCAGATGTCAGTTATTGTTATGACTGTTGCCTAGATACCTATTTTAAAGTGTTTTATTGCCCAATACATTGTTGCTGAGTGCATTGTTGCCTGATGAAGAGAGGGCCAAAAGCGCACACAAATAAAGAATAGAGAAAAGTGTTTATATTAAAAATAATACCCAAATGCACACCCTTAGTATCTGTGCAAAGTTTCAAGTCTCTAGGTTCTTTCTTCTTGAACTGACTGACTGACACACAAACAAACTGTTTTATTAGCATAGATTTCTGTTGGTACAACACAAAATCATACTACTAGCAACAGCACACTGCTTGGAGGACGTAAGAGACTGATCAGCCAGAACACCAAGATCATTTTCTTCTATAACACTGTTAAGCTGTCAGTTTTTAATCACTTGGCAATATTGACAGCTAATGTTTGAGTCAAAAAGCAAGTACTATAGAAATAACATTTTGACAGTGCTATTTTGGTAAGTTTGGAAAGACTTCTGTATGGGTGAAACATGGGAATTATACTTGATATTATCAAGTATCTCATATGATGTTTCTTCAGTTATCTTTAGGTTGTCTCTCAATTGATTTCTATTATTAAATTACCAAAGACAGACCTCTTTTGTGTAGTAAAAGTTGTTGTCATAGTTGTAATTACAGTTGGTTCATTTTAGATTTAAATTCTGTTGTTGTAGGGTCTAAATAAAATATTGTTTGTTTCTCCTTTACCAAATGACTCAGAATAAATCAGCATGACTTGGAAACTTTTATTACATACATTTATCAGTAAAAATTGTCTTTTCACAAGTCTCATTTTCGAATCTTAATTTGGCTGTCCATTTCCAGTTTTTCAGTTATATTATTTTCTGGTCAATACTGTACTTGCAGATTTTCATTTAATAAGTGATATTCATAAAAACATTTGACTGACTCAGATGTTACATTTACACAAAAGTCTATTTTATATATTTAGGAAAATTTATCAGAATGGAAAAACATAACAGCACTGTATTTCCAAGACTCAAATGTAACAAGACCTACTGGTTTAGATGGTCAAGTATTTTCTTGTAATACAATGAGAAAAATATTCCACTACTCCAAGCATCCTCTAATTAAAATATTTAAAAAAAAAAGCACCACATGAGTATACCCATAAGTAACTGGAGTTTGGTAAGAAGGAACAAATTAGAATTTCGCTTGGCTGTGTCTTTCAATTGAGAACTTAGTGTTGTCACCACAATAAAACTAATTTTATCTGATTAGACTCTGGGTTTTTTTATTGCTTACTTCCTAGTGGGTTTTAAACTATGTAAGGTAAAGTTATAATAATTTAAACTTTTATATTAATAAATATAATAATGTTATTTTAACTTTGTTTGACTTATTTAGGTTACTTTAGGATTATATAGTTGACATTGATTAATCCAAAATACTGTATCATTTATAGTGGAAGTCTCTTCTTTCATATGCAAAATACTGAAAATTTGGTTAGTGTTATACAGCTAATTTTAAAAAGTTAATGCTTATCATGCAATTGTCTTAAAAATATAACATTACAGCAGCTAGCAAGGAGTTAAATATTATTTTTTAACCCCAAAACACTATATTCTAATTGTTTATTCCCTAATGTTTTTCAAACTGTAAGATAAAATTGTAATTATCAAAAATTTTTTTACACAAAATATACTGACATTATTATAATTTTTATGTTGTTTACTGTAAATTTTAGCTACTTGAAGAAATTCAGAATACTAGGATTTTTACTTTGACTAAGTATGTGTTTAAGTAATAAATAAAATGAAATATGCTTGTTCATTTCACTTGGTCAGTTACAAAGCATATGAGTAACTATGATACAACACTTAAGGCTCTAACATTGTAATAGACACACTTATGAACATATAAAACAAAACTGCATTGTCTGGGAAAATGTACATAGTATTGTTGCAATTGATAAATAAATAAATAATAAATTGTTTCTAACTGTTCAACAATGCATGGTAGTTTTTGTAACAAGACAGTAAAAACATGGTTTGAATTCAAAAGTTGGCAATGCATTAGAAACCAGTAGGCCTAAAATTTGCAGTTAAAGCATTTTTACCCATAAAGTTTAGGCCTACAGGATTTTTAAAACCTAAAATCTGCAGTTAATTTGATTTTTATTCATGAAGTTTAGACCTGTTGGTTTGTAATGCATTACCACATTTTTGGCATTCAAACTGTAATTTTTAAAGTATTATACCACATATATAAATAGCATTTTAGAGAATCTTTTGTATCTCATAATCCAGCCAAACTGATTAGTTCTTGTACTAAACAAAAGACTTTTTCAGTATTGACTTGTGGGAGACAGAAGATAAATCTGAAATGTTATTTTTATAATTCTGATTTTGAACATACAATGCATAAACTAAATGGAATCTGAGACACAAAGGCATCTGATGTTAACATGATTTTTTTTTTTAATTTTAAGATGATAAACTGAAAAAGACTTGTAAACAGTATATAAAAACTGATATAAAATTTTATTGTTTACATTGGGTGTGTTTGTCACTATAGAATGCATAATTTATTTATTGATGACCTATAAAATCTTCTCTTAAACACTATTGAGTCTAGTTCATTATACATAAAGATAACCTTGTGTGTTGCCAAAAAATAAATAGTTACCTACCTACTCACACTCAGCAGGGAAGGGTCTGTAAAGGGGAACTATTTTCTAAGGTTGGCCTAGAATCTCTTGTTCCACATGTGATTTGTTCAACAGTTGAGTTCTACTGAAATACTGCTTTTTTGCATTTGTCACTTCTTTTTTTTTATATATATGCGTTTTTGTAACTTAATAATGTTACTACATGTGTAAACATCTGTTCATTTTAGAGATTGGACTGTATGTAGCTAAAGATTTGGAATTAGAACACGAGGTACAAAAAAGTAAGTATTAATTTGCTTTAAATTGTTAAAGTACACTTTAAACATTTACTGTTCGTGTATAAGGTCTTTAATAAAATTGTTTTTAGAACAGAATGTTTTAAAGCTTTATTTTATTATGGGATTCATATTTATGGAATGTGTAAGCTAAGGATCAACTAAGTAGAAGGAAATTACCACTGAGTATTTTTGTTTTTATTTAGGTGAAGATATTTTACTGATATAAATGTTTGTTTTGGATAATCTGTAGTTAAAATAAAATACTTGCATGATGCATCCATTACTGAATATGTTTAACATTTCTGGTTCAACATTATTTTTTTCAGCATGTGAAAAAATATCTGAAAACTTGCATATTATTGCTAATGAACCTTCCCTTGCATGTTATCGACTTCAGGAACACATACACAAATCCCTACCTCAAATGGTAGAGATAAGGGTATGTTTCTTCTTTTTTTTTAATCTTCTGAATGTGACAGTGTGTACTTACTTAAAAACTTTTGATTTAGTGATCATTAAATGAAATTCCTTTTACATGTACTTTTATAATATGTAGCATCAATCAATATTAATAGAAATATATGTATAGAGAGAAAAAGATAGATATTAAATATTTTTATAATTTATTCAGGGTTTGCTAATATTTTAATGTTTGAATTAAACATAGCAACAAGGTTCATCTACACATAATATATAACAATGACTGATTTTTTATTTTTTTTGGCGGTTAACAATTCTGTTACTCGACTAGTACTGTTAACATATACAGTTGTTATAGTATTTTGTATTTACAATGCATGTATTTGGAACATTTGAAGGTGAAAAACATTTTCTATCATGGTATCTTACCTTCTCTCACAAAATAGTTTCTCTCAATTAGAGCTGCTCATTTTTTTGCTCACTACTACCCTTTAAACTCCCATCTATCTGACATTTAATGTGGCTCTAATGTCTCTTTGCATACAAATAAACATGCAGCAACCCCCACCAATAGAATTGTGACACACTTTCCTAACACAGGTTACACCTTCTATACTATTCAGCCTAACCTTCACTTCTCATTTAGGCACTATCATGTTCAGATGTTATTAAATTTTACTTATGTTTTTTTTTTCACATTTACTTCATTTTTTTTTGCCTTGCTTCTTGAAGTAGTAATTTGACATAGTTCAACATTTCAGTTACAACTTGAGTTGAAGTAACCTTAACTCTATTGTTTTTTGTTTTTTCTTCACTAATTAATTTGGTTTGATTTGTTTGGAATTTTGTGCAAAGCTACCCGAGGGCTATCTGTGCTAGCTGTCCCTAATTTAGCAGTTATAGACTAGAGGAAAGGCAGCTAGTCATCACCACCTACCACTAATTTTTAGGCTACTCTTTTGCCATAGAATAGTGGGATTGACTGTCACATTATAACATCCTCATGGCTGAAAGAGTGAGCATGTGTGGTGAATTAGGGATTCGAACCCACAATCCACAGATTGTGAGTCAAGTGCCCTAATCACCTAGCCATGCCAGTCCATATTTAATTTGGTGAAATGATCTCATTTGAACCATGAATTTGGAATTTTGTGTTACAACAACTATTAGCATGACCACTACTACTTCAAATGTCATTTCTCAGGCTTCAGATTGTACACTTTCAGCTGAGGAGGTCTCGAACCTTAGTTCAATGGGAGATTGAACACTACATGAGACAACTGGCTTCTCCTAAACCTGGACAAGATCTTCCATTTACAAAATAACTTAGTCTTGATCATGAGGATTTGAAGAGACTTTTTTCTTCACCCATCCTATGCTGTGCAATCCTGTGTGTCACCTGTGAATATAGCCAGGCCTCCCTCAGTCTTTTTGGACATGATTTCACAGGTACATTATGTTTTGTCTGTATCCCCTGTCTCTTGTGACCCACTCATTCCCTTTTACACACTGCTTCTTTGTTAGAATATCAGAATATCTTGCCTCCCCCCCCACCTCTCTCCGGATATCAGGGTTCATGTTGACCAGTTCCAAGCACAATTACATGCAGGATCCAGAATGCTCCGTCTCCCTAGATCTTCGAATCTTTTTGCTTTGGCTTATCACCAAGCAGACTTTCCTTTTCTAGACTCTCAACACTTGGAGTCTTTAATTCAAGTGTGGGGGCCCAACCATTATTCTCCAGTTAGATTCTCCCAGGCCCAATTTTCCTTACTCCGGGTGACCCTAATCTGTCCTTAAATACATGTCTACTATGCACCTCTTAGCTGAGGCTATCCACCATTCCACTGTGGGGTTTTTGGAGGAGACCCACACTCTCATGTTTTCGACATTGGTGTGTTTACCCTCTTCCATCCTTTCCCTCCAAATGTGGCTCTTCTGCTGCTGAAATCTCCTAGGTAGGGATGCATTTTTGTTTCAGTGCAGATACCCATTACCTATCTGCACGACCTCAGAATGGCACCATTTTTACACAGATCTCATTTTAGAGATGTCCTTGAGTCTCTGGAGTTGCAGGTGGAGTCTGCCCACAACTTTTCTCCATTACATCTTTGGTTTCCAGGTTGTCTCAGCCTTCACCTGCCCTTGCTCCCACTATTGTTTCCCATCCCACACCTCAACCTTTACTGGTTCCTCTCTTGAGGGTTTCAACAGTGAGTTGTTGTATTTCTCACTGTAGAAACACACACACTGCTAATGGTACTGGTGGCTACCAAGTGGGTTCTGGCTGGGTAGGTGCACACCTGTGCTGATTTGTTCACCTATGCTAAGAGTTCACTTCCAATCCTTGGGTTTTACAGGTGCTGTCCAAAGGACTCTTCATCCAATTCCTCCCACACCCTCCATTGTCACAATTTCCTGTATCTTTCCCCCTCCTCAGGATCCCACAGCTTGCCAGCATCTCTGTATTGCAATGAGCTGGACTGACTGACAGGTACTCTAGTTGGCTGAGGTGTACCCCCTACATACCACTTGCAGGTTGTGACTCGTACATTCTGGTAACTCATAAAGCTGGACCAAGAACCAGAAGTCCAGTTGGTTTTGGATCTGAGAGAACTGCCACAAGTGCACCTCCCTTCCTACCATTGTTTGGATGTTGGGTTCCCGAGTGGCTGGTGTTGGTTGAGAAATTGGGCACATGTGTCCTGTCTAGTCAGATAGAACACAACATTTTCCTTCTCATAGGCTTGAGGTGAAGATGGTAGGGACCCTTCTCCTACTACAGAACAGATGAAAAATACCCGAGGTTACCTTGTTTTGGACTGGAGTTGACCCACCCTAACTGATGAGCCATAACTGTTCTACACTGTGGGGCACATCTATTTTATTTTCCACACCATTACTATATTTGGTTGGGAACCCTCTATCCTGCTTTCTTCTGGGTGTTTGGGTGTTGAGCTGGACCAACTGACATGTCTGCATTAATGGATGTAGACTTACTACTTCACTGGGCAAAGAGTATACCTGGTACAGCTGTGGTGCATTCTCCCATGAGAATGTTCCTCTCTCAACAGAGATCACACTCCACAAACATTCTTCAGACACTTTCAGAAGGGGGCTCATCAAGGTAGCATTTGCACTGGTCCCTCCACCTTTTCAGTGTGAGATTCTAGCTATTTTGTTGGAAATTATTATTTTCCTACACTGAAAATATATTTCTGATAGGTACTTACCTCATCTCACACTTCCCGTCCTTCCTCCCCACTTCCATTGTTTTTTGGTGACTGATCACAAAGTGAAGGTGAGGCTGAATAGTATAGAGGGAGTAACCAGCATCAGGAGAGTGTGTCGCACTCCTATTGGTGGAGGGTTGCTGCATGTTTTTTTGCATGCAAACATGCAGTAGAACCACAATAAATGTGGGGTATGTGGGAGTTTCAAAGCTAGTGGTGATTAAAAAAGATGTGCACATATAGAGGGCAGCACTGAATGAAAGAAGTTATTTTGTGAGTTGAGGTGAGTACCTACTGGAAATATATTTTCAGTGTAGGAAAATATTAATTTTACTAATTAGAAAGCCACAACATACAAGATTAGTTGTGAAAAGTTTATTGATTTCTATGGAATTTGTCTGTAGAATAAATATAAGAAGTGAACATTTCACAGTTAGCTTTACCTATAAAAAAGACATGTTAATTGAATAATTTTTCATACTATAACTTTTTAATCTGAAGTTATGTGGTCCTATAATTACATAGTACTTATTCTGAACCCTATAATGTTTCTGTTATGTTTAAATATGAAACTTGCACTTTCTAAGTCTAAATGGATGGGTGCTCATTATTCATTTGTGTCTTAATTGCAAAATGTGTTTGATTCCCAATGAGCATTGAGTCTTATTTTAGATAACTTCATTGATTTCCCTTTAAAATAAAAATATATATTTAGGTATGTACATGTAAAGGTTATTTTTTAAAGTATTTTTCATTACAAATGTGAAAAATGAATGAACATAATAAAAACAGACACCAGCTTTAAATAACTGTGTGAAGTTTGGCTATTATTAATTCTTTCTAAGGAAAAAATTGAAATTGTGTCTTTGACCTATTGTAAAAATATTTTGATTATAAAATGTATCACTGTATATGGTGCATCATTATAAATGTCCATGTTGGGAATAGTAAATTTTTTTTAGGAATGTGCTGTTAAAAAATACAGCAGATTAACTTATTGCTATTAATTGGCCAAGTAATTTTTTATTCTTTATTCTGATGTTTAATACCTTCCTTGACTGCTTTTGAGGCAATATACAACTGAGTCAGAGACATTACAGTATTTCTATGATATGTAAGCAATAATCAAGATCTTTAAGTAATAGATATTTAAAAAAAACAATATTAGTTTTAACAGTGTTTAATATCAATACTGTAATGAGTTTTATGAAATGGGTAGAATATTTCTGGATTCAGCAATAATTCGTTTTTCTTGCCTTTCACAGACTATATAGTAAAAAAGGGATCACATAATGCTCCATGGCTGTATTTGTGTGGTAGTTTGAGTTATTAAACAGTGAATTAGTAAGTTAACCCATTAGCTCCATTGATAAAGTACTTGCATGGTGTTTGAGAGTTCTCAGGTTTGATACCAAGAAGGAATTTACTACAAGAAAAATAGTTCTTGTTGTGGGGTACAAGGTTTTCTTATGGCAGTACTTCATGTTTGACAGGTACCATCTTATGATGCTCAAAAGAGCTCTTAAATTGAGTTTTGCAAAGTATTGTTAGAGCCCCTCTTAAGTCTTTATGATTCCTGTTGTTTTGGGCCCACTACTGATCCTTTTATTCTTACCAAGAAATAAATAATAACAGAATCTTAATTTGAAAGTATTAGCCACACAATCAGCTGTTGTTTGTATACATAGATAACTGTGTGTGACCCTGTTGACTGCTATGACTGATACATTAATTGGTGTAGACCAGCAATGTTACACATGCAGTAATATGACATTTTCAAACTTTATTGTTCTATATAGACATCAAATATTTATAACTGAGGAACTAAGTTAGTGTTTTAAGGTTTAAATTACAAAATTTGATATTAATTATTAGCAAGAAGAGTTTTACATATAAATGTTATTTACCAAATCTTTGTTCAATTTACTCATTGATTCAAGCATTCTATAGCATCTCAACATCCTTAATACATCTAGAAATACCAAAGAGTTTAATGTCATCAGCCAGTTTTATTAATTATGCCTCTACCAATATCAGTAATAAGAAAACCAAAAGCCCGAGTATCAACTCCTGAGGCACTCTCCTAATAACAAATGTCCAGTTGGACAAAATATAAACTTTTAGCTTTCTATCACCCAGCCATTTTACAGTTCAGTTAACCCTCACATATGTGATTTTCTTACCTATTTTTCTGTTTAGTATCTTATCAAAACCTTTTTGAAAAATCTAAGTACATCAAGTTCACACCCTCTCAACTGTCCAGATAACATGTAATTTACTCAGAAAAAATGTGAACATATTTTAATAAATGAAATACTACTTTTATCAGACTTGAAAGTAAAACTAACTTGATCTATAGTTTCCCGTGCATCTTTTATTATCCACTTTCAAGGTAAAGTAATTCTTTGTCCTCATTTAGTGGATAACAATAAATGCAAAGTGGCATTCCCTTCTTGGCTTCCTAATAGGGGTGAGCAATATAGCTTGGAATATAAATCATATGTTAATATAATTTTGGAAATATAATTTAGTGTACTGTAATATTCATTACAATATCAATTTTGTTCTAATTTTCAAGTTTTAATTAACCATAACTCACAAGTTTATTTTGATTTTGTCCTTTTGCATTTAACAAACTTACCAAATGTACTAAAAATTTCCAAGATGGAGAACTAGTTGTTGGTATGCATAAATACTTCTCTACAAATCTGCTGAGCTTTGATTTGATTCATTTTCTGCCAAAGGTGGTAGCAGATAATAATCCATTTCAAGCATAATTATCTCTTTTCTCAGAAGTAGTAGAAGTGCTGCTTGTAGCTCTTGATTTTATTAAGCTACCCATGGTCTTTGTGTTTTGTAGAAGGTGGTGGATCTCTTACAATCTTAGATTTTTTTACTGGCTCTGACAGTAATGATTATCTCCTTTTGTATGCTTACTAGTTATTCCACTTCATACATTATATGTTGTTTAATAGATTCCACATTGTTCTCAATAAAAGGTAAAACATCATGTAGCACTCAAGTGTCAGCATTTTTCATTCGGATAATTCAAAAACTTTCATCAAATGACTTTGTGAGAGTCAGTGTCATCTTACTCAATAGCTAGAATGCCATTGTTTAGATGAATCAAGATAAAGGCGACCAAAGATGGATTGGTCTGCTGGGACACTGAGAAACTTCCCCAAGAGCCAGCAAGTATAAAATAAAATTAGGATTTTTTTTAACTAATTAAATCTGGTTTAATAAGATGTCCAATTTCTCATTAACAACTTACAGCATGGATGAGTGATAATTCTTTTACTGTGAACTACTTTCAGTTCATGTAATTGTATCAGGTTTATAATTTACTAAGATGGGTAATACATGTAATAAACATTGGATTGTAAATGAAATATTTTGCATAATGCATATTTGTTTAACTTGTGAACTGCATGAATGATGTTTGTATATGTTACTGGCTATGTAGCATTAAGTGCAACATCTTGATCAGTGTTTTCAAGAATACTTTGATCTTATTGGAGGGCCAGTAAAGAAAGTATTTTCCCTAGTTGTGTTTAATCCTCAATCCACTAATGTTGCATAAAGCCCATTCACCTGCTTGAGGACTTCAATGTCCTACTGTGCCAACACTACATGCCTGGTACTTCTGTGTGCATTCGGAACTTGATTGAGGGCTTTCTTCTGTTCCAGAATCCTTTGGACCATTTGCTGATGTGGTCCCTAGTGAGTAGAAATTGTTCATTATCAAATTGTGCTATGAAGGATCGAGCTTCACCCATGCTGATGTTTACTTTCTTCTTTTCCACCCGTAAGTGCTAACCATTGTCTTATACACACCACTGGCTCTGTCTATTTGTTTGTAAGCACTTGCTGCACAAATCCCAATCTATATCAACATGAAGTATTTATTAAGGCAGCAAATTCTAGCAATTTTGAGGAATATGATTTTTGATTATAATATAATCCAATAATTGTGAACGTTGAAGAAATCTATAACTTCAAATATGTGTAATAGAGCTTGAGAAGAGAGCAGGAAGTTATAAAAAAACGTTTAGCTAAACAGCAAACCACATTGCTATATAAAGAGGTACTAATTTTTATACATTATGTGAGTTAGATGAAAATACATTCAAGAATGTAGTATGAGAAGTAGAAACTCACAGCATTACACAGCAAACTTATAAGCATCAAACAGATGTGCTTCATTAGAAGAAGAAAGCAACAAGCTTTCATAATAGAAACCAAATGAGTGGAATTTGGTTTATATAAAATGAGAAATAACGGAACTTTAAACAGAAGCTCGAATGGAGGGAATAACCGAAGTTGGTCTGTTTGTATGTAGTTTTGCATAAACCAATTAACAAGAAGTTTCTGTTTGACAAGAGGGTCAAAAATATAACAATCATGTTGAAGGACTACATGTGAAGATGGTCTACTGAACTTACTGTGTGATCGCTGGAACATGGAAAGAGGTGTATAAAGTGTCATGTTTTTGGTCTGGAAGACAGAGTTCCTTAGGTCCACATGTTGCTACTGAACTTGCTGTCAGAATGGCCACCACACTTCAAAGTCTAGAGAATGTTCAATGCATAAACTCTTTGTAAGTATTAATGCTGCCCTATCTAGTCTACCAACATAAGTTAACATACCATGTATAATGTGTTGGGAAAGGAAAGTATTAAACATTACTTGTACTGAAGATTTAGTGAAGTTAATTGAAGATGTTATCGAGTTATTAAGAGACATTCTAGAATAATTATTATTAAAATTATCTACACAAAGTTATGTCTGAGAGAATATTCCTAGTGAACTTAGTTGATGATCTGTTTATCGTTATGTCTTTGCTGAAGAATATAATTGAGGAGTTAATTAACAAGCATTTAGCAATTCAGAACAAAGGGTTTGATAGTATTCATGTTGATTTGTTCCAACGTAGTTGTAGTGAATGAATATATGAACATTTGGTAATAAACTTTATTTTGTGTTCATTTTAAAACTGAGTGAATTTCTTTATTCCAAAGGTAAACCTTCTCAAGTTTGTGGCTTGTGTGCTTACCCATGACTGATAAACTGGCATCAAACAAATAATTATTTGTAACAAGTGTTCAGTCGAACCCAAATGACTATGCTCCACAAAAAGCTGCCTGTTACAAATATAATGTATGCTAAAACTGTTGTTTGGCTGTACCAAAGGTCAGTAGTATGAATAAAGAATTAAATACCAGTCAGCACCTAGGCAACTTGTTCATGACATTTGTTATACAAAGTTTCTAAAACAGTTTCAAGAAAATACTTGTGATTATACATTTGCTATTTACTCTCAGTCATAATCGGTAACTTTCTGAAACATATTTTTTCAAGTGTGTACTTAGGCACCTTTTGCATCTTGATAAGTTATAGCATCAGTAAGTAATATGTTTCCACTGTTTACTGCAACACTTATATGGCTCTGAAATTGGAAGTTGCTGAATCGGGTAATGGAATAAATTTGAGGTGTCACAACAATTCAACTGGTGTATTGTCCAGCCCTGACCATTTGGTGTAGAAAGCCCATGCTAAATTACTTCAAGAAACTTCTCTTACTCACTTCTTGGCTCCACACAATCCCAGTAACTCAGGCTAAACTTTAAAATCACCCCTGATTGTTGCATCGGTAGTAACCTTATTAGTAACAACCCTGATCTCATTATACAATTTCTCAGTAATATCATCCCTCTAAACAGGTGGCCCAGAACAGTATCCAATTAGAAAGTTTTGACCCTTGAAACCTCTGATTGTAACCCAAACAGATTCAACATCTTAACTATAACAGGTTTCATATTTATGAAGACTCACCAGCCACAACATACAATATTTATTCACATAACAATGAATTGCTGAAACTTAACAGTAAATTATTTGAAAGAAAAAATACTGAGTTACAATATTTTCTGAGTGAGATAACTTTTTTTCTGTTATTTCTCTGTATATCATGTTTTTTTCACACAAACACAAACTGAAAATAATTGTTTATAATAAGTTTTCTTAGTATTTTAATGTTTAAGCAAAGCACCTAATTTTGACATTTTGCTTACTGTCTGATTTATAAAACTGATAATCACTTATTACATGTTGGAGGTATCAATCTAAGTTTGGATTTTAAAATTATATTTCATGAAGGTAAAGGAGTTTGAGTGAACGTAAAAATACTAAGACTATTTTCAGAAAGTGTGAAAAAGTTTTCTGCAATTTGCAAGAGATGGGAGTGTGAAAATAATAACCGGAAACTAGGATTATCTGCAGATATCAAAATATTTTTTTAAATATTAGTAACTTTAGAGTCAGGATATGCCTGACTTGGTTAATTCTGAAGAATTAGTTATATAGCCAATAAAACAAATATCAAACAATTAATTGATACAACCCTAATTTCCATGTGTGTCTGAATATGAAAACATGCATATAATTGTCCCATTATTTTCTGTTTTGCCACCAAATATTCATTTCAATTTCTAATTTTTTTTTCTGCAGCAAGAAGCTAATCAGGTGAATGAAGATTTACAGGGAAAATGCTTTGATTTAGATTATTCTTTGAGGTAAGTGTATTTTGTTTTAAAGTCATCCTTTACATTCTTAAATTGTATATAAGGAAACAGTCAAACATTTTTCACTCATGATATTTTTGACTTTTGAAGAAAATCTGAATTTTTTGAAATCCCTGGGATTATTCTAAGGTTTTATCTAAACCTGGGGAGAGAGACATTAGTTGTTAATATATTCGCCAGAACTTTAATAACTCTTACCTTGGTCCTGTCACTCTTTCTTTCTATCGTGTATGTGGGCATGGTCATCTTTCACATATAATTAACCCTCTCTCTCCATGGGCATCTTTTACTGTGCATGTTTCAAGGTTTTTAGTGACTTACATTCAAAATTTATACATCTTTTTGCTCATGTTATATCAATTAGCATAAACCTAGTATATACGTTTTAAGTTCTTAATTTTATAAGGCAATATTTTAAGAAATCCTGAATTTCCTCTAGTGTGAGAAATATGAATTTTTTTTATTTATCACCCCCCTCCAAGAAATACGAAATTTCACGTAAATTACTAATTATAATGTTGTCATCACTCAGGCAAAGCATGATTTTCATAGCCTTCAATTTTGTTAAGTTACAGAGCTATCAAATAAAAAATCAGACTCCTCTTGCCACACCTACCTGTCAGATCCTCTCTTTCAGGATTTGTCAATAGTTATCTCTTATGTTTAATACTAAATTATTTATAATAATAGAAAACCAAGGTTTTCATCTATAAAATGATGTATTATATTACATTGTTTTCTGTACAGAGAATTGTCAATTTCTTTATAGTACAAGCTTCATTCTCATGGGAAGCACACTGACTAGCTTGGATTAATTTGTAACAGCTCTTGTTGTATAGTTAGAAAGCCAGAAATATTGTGATAGTTAAGGGACATTGTCTACTTTTTACATGTTATTATTCCATGTTCTTTGGTGCATTATTTGATTAAATAAAAATTATTTAGTGCAGTACTATCATTAGCATTAAAAAAAGTAGCCTAAGTGTCATTGACAGTCAACAGCAAAAACAAGAAGGCCTAGGTAAGTATGTTATTTTTTGTTTTTCATGTATATTCTTCATTAATTATTGTAAAGTAACTAACATTTAAAAATAGGAAACTCTTTAGGTTAGTTAAGGTTACATTAAGAAAAATAAATAATAATATTATGATAAAAAATTTTCATTAGACACACATGCCAGCAGCTCAGAGTAGCTCGTGGGTAATATAATTTGATAGTGTAATATGAACTGAATGTACCCCAAGTGATTTACAACTTAAGATGGCACAAATAGTAGTTAGACACAGTCCAAAGGGCAATAAAGTAATAAAAGTTATGTATTAATAGATTTATACTGTTAGGGGTTTAAAGCTACTTAGGATAAACAAATGTAGTTTCTTGTTACAATATGAAGGCATTCTAGAGAGAAAAAAGGGTAATTTAGGTTGTTTGTTTTTTTCTTTTGGTGGTTATGAGGTCAATCAAATTTACCAAACTTTTATAGAGTTAGGTTAGAGTAAATAATAGATAGAATATAAAGTTTTACAGAAAAAATATATTTGAAATGTATTTAGAAGGTTTTAGAGATTATGCAAATAAAATTTGAGATGAAAAAAAATTATTTTTAATCTTAACATGAAAATCACTTTGCACTTTGACTAGTAAAAAAAAATGACAATATATTCACAGACAAATCTTTAGTAAAAATACTTCATTAAAAAATCTGATTTTTTGTATATAAAAGACTTGTAATGTTTATTGAAAGTCTGCCAGATTTACTGAAGATCACCTACTGTATTAAAATTTAGTGGTATCAAAACTATAATAAGTACAAAGTGGTCACGTGTTTGGTCAATTTGACCAATCCCGTGTTGAGAGAGTCAACACAAGTGAGATTTCAAGGTAGCCCATTATGAAATGTGCCATTGTCCAAAATATAAAGGTGCTGCTTGAAATAGCCATTTGATGTTAATGATACATTGTGTTCAGGTTTGCTGTAGTTATATTCTCAGTTGTCAATAAAATTTTCAAAAAAATACGTTACCAGCAGCTAATAGAATCCAAATAAAGACGTGTGTATTTGTAAAAATAGCATCAACAGTCATGTTCTGTGTTGGTGATATGTTTAAAAATTGCACATAATATCAAAGCATTTTAAAGTGTGAAGAAAAGGTTTTGTTCAGGTAGAAGAGAAGATTGGAGAACCATAAACACTGCAAAGAAACATTTTACGAGTAATGATATCACTTTAACATACATTTGAAATATGTGCATGTGAAGTTTGTAAAGAAAATATATAATTTTTTATGAGTAAGTATTCGATGTAATATTGGATATTATTTAGATTATATATACTCATCTTCTTACCTAATGGCTGTAGAAAATGATAAATTCATTTATGGGTATCTTTGGATGTACACAAATTAAAATGTTTTTAAAGTTTACATTGTCGTTTATCAGGCTTTGAAGATGGCAATAAATTGGCAAAGATCAAACTCATCAAAGGAAGCCACATATTAATCACTCCTCCTAATTTGTCAGGAATTTCTTATTTTTTTCAAACATTACCACTTGCATGCCTGGTTATATTGCGTTACATTAATTGTTGTGATACGGTGAAAGTTAAAATCAGTTTACAGATGTTAGCCTTAGGATGTAGCTGTTCACATACAATTGAAGGAAGTTCATATGTTCTGTATTTGTGTTTTCAGATATTTTTGCTTTTAAATCAAGCTATCAGATCAGTTATGATTCTTAACCCTTTCTACACTAGAGGGGTGTCAGTGATATCCACTGCTTTTCTTTCCTTCCAGTAATGGAAATACTTAACCAAATTGCATGAAACTTGCTAGAAACTTACCAAACAGTATTTAGTGTCAACATCAAAAAATTCATAAAATTTGAAATAGTATTTTTATCATTTTTAAGGTTATGAAAGTCCCATGCAATATATTCACAGTTTCAATGTGAGTGATATGAACATTTTTAAAGTTATTATTGCATAAGTAACCACTTCTGGCTGTAAATGATAAAATATGACAAAAACTGACAGATTTATTGATAACCTAGGACCTCACCTATAAAAATAGTATTACCTTTTGTCAGGATACTGTAGGTATTGTGATTTTTCTAACAATATGCTCAGCCAAAATAACTTAATATGTAATAAATATACTTTCTTTTCAATAGATAATTCACTTCGTTTACATGTATTCATTGTTTGAATTCAATTAACTTATCAATAACATTTAATAAATATAGATTTGAGTTATCAAAAAATGTTGCCATTGCTTACAATACTGGTTAAACAAAACTAAGCTTACCACAATGTCTTGTTACGGAAGAAAATTTCTGTTGCCTACAAAGAGATTTAATTTAACAAGAAATATTTTTAGTAACTAAATTGAATGTGTAAAGGAACTAAAAAAAGGTTTCCAGATTTCTGGTTTGTTTGTAAGTTTTCTGAGTTTCCCATTATATTTCTTTATTCACCCCTTCTTAAGCTTCTGCTAGTCAGTCTCTTGAGAAACCATGTGTTTTTGCTCAAACCACTGTATTTACTCTGCAATGATATGAATAATGTGTAATATGCTGTATTCAAAACATTAGCTATAGTTATCTTGAGAGCTGAGCTTTGTTAGTAGTTCCGACCACATACTGTGACATCACAGTGAAAGGCTGTAGTAATAAAACCACTAACAGAGAAGGAAAATCACATGTAAAATGAGATCTGAATAATTATATTTTCAAGGGATGATAGTTTTCTTAGCAATTATAATCATACACTTTGGGATGGGCAAAAACTTTTTCTTTAAAAAAGATTAATTTATTGTGTTGAGCTTTGCAGAAATGAAATTTGAAAGATTTAAAAAATGTTTCTTCAAGAATTCACTAAATACACTTTAAAAGATGAACAAATGTTAATTCTGAAATATTTTTGAGTTAAGATCAAGGATGAAAACTGCCTGCCATGTGATAATTTTTTGCAATTTTTATTGAAATTGGTCATCTGCCCAAATCATTAAAATTGAATGAAAAAATATTGGGGGTGGGATGAAGAGACCAGAGACAAAATAACATTAACACTAGAAACTCAATTGGAGATTGCCTTATCTGCTTGGATGCTTACACTAACCCATAAGCCAAAACTCATATGTGAAAATCCATTCAATTGGCTGTTTGATGGATAGCTGGCCAATAGCAAATAGAGTTTTCAAGCTGAAGATATCTAAATACCTCAGAAATGCACAAACTCCTTCAAGTGGAATGGTGGATGATTAAAAAACGTCAGCATAGAGGTTGGATTTGAATATTTTACCATTCCCCTATATTTGTGCATGCTTTTTGCTACATAGAATAGATGTTTTTATTTTCATTGGATATTACATGTGAAAGTGTTTAGATGGAGTCTAACTTGGACAGAGATAGACATGACCTGATGAAAATTATGGCAGTAAGAACATGACTGAAGTCTCCAAATTGTTTTCTATAATTAAGGAATTTTTGTTTCAAATGAAAACATATTACAAAGGTATTAAATGTCACAGTTTCGGAAATTATTTTCAGTCTTGGAAGTTATGTTATACATGGGAAAGTAAAATCATGGGACCAGGGAATTTCTGCCACACAAGGAATCTCTCAACACCTATGTAAATTTGTCTACATTTTTACTTTCAAAAAAATTAACAAAGTATCCATATCTGCCTTTCAAAAGACTCAATATTTCATAAAATGGCCAGTGTGTACATAAATGGTCTAATCATTGTATTTATAAACACTTGTATGTAGTATTTGTCTAAATATTTCATAACATGTTTGTGTGGCAACAGTCCAATATTACTGATCGTCACAGGACCATGCATTTCTGATTGGGAAAGCCAACTAAAAAGATGAAATTCCTCAAGCAAAGTTAAATTTCCCAGGAATGCGGGAATGTAATATTTCTATCCCTGAACATGTAGACATGCACTTGACCCTGGAAAAGTTCTCTCTGATCCAGATAGATTTTACATAGGAATATGTTTTTTAACCTATTACAATTGTGACTTCCACAAGCAGATACTTTAAACTTATAAAAATTTCCTTTATTATGAGGGTAGAACTTACTACATTCCATAGGAAGTCTTTATAAAGTAAAATATTGAGTAAAATTTTTAAATTTTGCTGCCTTATATCTTCAAAATTAGAAGTCTTTTTACTGATTAGTAGGGAACGTAATCTTTGGAACATAATCTTAAATTTAGCTTGAGTGTCACCACAAGTTCATTATTTATTTGCATTTTTGTATGTGCATCCTGAAATGAAACTTTAACAACTTGAATGGAATGGCAAATTATACAGGCATTAATGAGTATAATGTTTGTTTGACATAAGGTAAAACTCCTTGCACTCAGGGACATTTTTCCTGTACTTACTGTAAAGTTTTTCTGTGTATGTTTGAAATGTAGATAGACAAATGATACATGATTTTATGCTTTATCTATTTTATTTTAAAATGCAAATTTGAAAAGGAACTAAATAGCAACTGTAGGGAAGGTTTTAATGAAATGCTTTTTCAAAAATAGTGATTAGAAAATTATGAACTAATCATTTTCAAAATTAGACTACACAAGTATAGAAACATAGTTTATCCTTTAAATTAATGTTTATGTACAAATTTGTAAAATCAAATACAGAAGATTTTTATGAAGAGTAAAATAATAAACATACAAACCTTTGACTTCTATATTAAGATATACATAATTACTTTTTCACTTATTTAATGTACAATTAATTTTTGTTTTTTATATTCAAGTTTAATTTTTTGTCAGAGTTCTCATAATTCATCATGTTTTCAGGTCTCCTAGTATACTTGTAAAACCTATTAAAGCCTACATTTTGAATATTGCTCTATTTTTTTGGTAAAAATGGTGTATAGAAATATTTTTTTTTTAAACAATATGAACTGTTCATGTACATTTTCATAAAAATATGTTCAAAATAGGACTTTCGAGAAGAGAATAAAATTCTTCACTATAATTGTAAACAAAACCTATAAAAAAAAGCCTTATAAAGTGGTAAGTATTGTTTAGAAAAACATAAGAAATCTCCTTTGGATCAAATAATATGGTGATCTTGAGTGGTGAGGTTGGAAAGCTGGTTGTTTAATGGAGAAATTAGGCAGAAAAACCTATAAACATTAGATTTTTATGTTACTGCCTATTTGTTTCTTAAACATGATTGGGAAGTCTATGTGGTTTTGTTGTTGTTGACATCTTCATGGGTGATGAGGGTGAATTAAACATGGGAGAACTAAAATTGTGTCTTATTTAATTATCATGCTTGAGTTGTTTACCATCTTTTTATATATGTATGCTGTGTGAGATATGTGACAAGCAACTATATTTGATTGTGTTAATCTTATTTCAAAGTATCCTTAGGATAAATTGCTGCAGGTTGTTTTACTCTAAAGTTAAAAAATAAATATAACTTTTCCATGTTACTATATTCAACTATGTAGTCTTTCAAAGAAGTTGGGTCTGCTGCAACTGAGATTTTTGGAGCATCTTTTCTTCGTTGTAGCACATACAAATATCAATCACATTTACTTAAGTATTGCATCATTTCTGTACAACTTTTAAGTATTTGTAATATTTGTTTTTTAATGTTAGCTTGTATAATATATTGTAATTTATATTTCATTTTATAAAACATTCCTGGCATACATTTTTAGTGTCATGTATTACTTGCAGTGCTGTAAATTCCATGCATGGGAGTCTGCATCATTTTCAGAATATTTTTGAGCTTTTGAGAAACTGTGTGTTTATGAAACAACAGCTCGATTACAAAGAATCTGGTGGTTCAGAAAAGAAAACATTAGTAAAGGACCAGCATTTCTCAGGATCCTTTGACCACACCTCTTCAGTTCTCCCAAACCTTCCTACTGGGCTAAGGTACTCTGCTTCTGCTGATCTCAGATCTTCTACGTATAATCCTTCTCAGAAACCACAGACTTCTCAACACTAGTCAATATTATCATCATCTGCCCAGTAAGCTTTGTCTCATGATCTTTTGTCATCCATACTCTCCCTGCAGTCAACCACTGATGGCAAAAGTCAGCAAGTAGAGATACCTCCTTGCCAAAGAGATAATTAAGTTTATGTTGAATAAAACTGATTTATAATGTCATAAACACTATGAATAACATTTGCATGTGATATGGTAACACATTTGATAGGATTACCATTTTGTAAATTGGAACCATTGCCTTGAACAATTGTTTAAAATAAATATTAGTAAAGAAAAAAATTCAAATTTCCTTATATGAATGTGGTTCTTCTGTCACACTTAATTATGTTTCTCTAAAGAATTTAGTGATAGGATTAATTTTGCAATATGATTAATAAGGTTTTATTGTACACATTTATGTGTAACTGTTGTATTAAACACCAACTTGTTTATAATTATTGTTCTTTAAATTGAGGTGTATTTAAAATGGTTTTACAATATATTTCTTCATAATTTGATACACTTAACTTTCTGTACTTGGTTTCAGTTTACTTTAGGGCAATATTGAGTGTAGTATAATAGTTTACGTTATAGTAATATTGAGTCCTGGGTAATGGTTTGATACATTTAACTTTCTGTTATTGTTTCAGTTTACTTTATGGTAATATTGAGTGTTGGATAATGGTTTGATACACTTAACTTTCTGTTATTGTTTCAGTTTACTTTATGGTAACTATTTTGTTACTATGAATAAAACTGAGTAAAAGAAGTTAAGTATTTTTCTAAATACAGTAATACTTTAACACATTAAGGACTCAATCACTTTTTTAAACTGTGTTTTGATTTAAACTTTCATATTACAGTATGTGAAAGAAACAGCTGTGGTCAGTATGAGGTATTTTTACAAGATTTCACTCTTAAGATAAAATGACTGATATATGCATGTTTGAAAATATAAAAGTAACAAATTATTTGTTTCATGTATGTTGTGTGTTAACAATAGTCTAACAACTGTTGCTAACTGAAACAACTACTGAAGTCTAAGGGAAGCATATTGTTAATATCATAAAATAAACTATATTTTTCATGATGTTCTTGAATTTAAATGTGAAAAATGTTATATACAATATGAGGGTTATCTAGTTGCATATTTACAATAAGTCTCGTTCTTATTAGTTGTAAATTAAAATTTTAAAATCATTTGTTGCATTGTGTGTGTAGAAACAGAAAAATAAGTTCAGAAATGCACTGTATCAGAAATATGAACTTTACTTAAAACTTGTGTGTTAAAAGCACCAATTTATACAAGAAAACATGACACTTGAATTTTTTTACAAAACTACACGTAGATAGTAAATACTAATCAGCTGTGTTTAAATATACATATCACTATATGAGCAGCACAAGTTTCATAAATCTAGTTACTATTCTCTCTATAAATATTATCTAATTTTTGAGCACCATGTTTTATTTATATATATTAAACTATGTAAGGATGATTATTTCATGAACTTAGAAAAGCCTCACTCACCATTAACCAGAACTATCTAGTACATTTTGAAAAAAAAAAACACAATTGATAGATGGTGTTAAAACTTTGCAAATTAAATTCTACTTTCAATTCAGGAAAGAAAGAAAAACTTAGGTAATACATATGTATTTGTAACACTTCAGGTGGACAATATACAACTAAAACTATAGGGTGTTAAATAAATCTATATGTTCATATATTGACAAATTAACTAGCTCATCATATGATTATATATTTTGAATGTTCATTATACTTAACATTTTAAAATGGTATGATTTGGTGACAAGTGGGAAATCAAATGCTTTCTTGGACTTCATATTTATTTTATGAACTGTTTGTGTGTGTGCCATCTGTTGGCAGAGTGATTTGCACTGCTGTGTGCACCATGATTAAACGCAATGCAGTTATTTAAAAAATCAAACAAAAAATGGATTTTATATTTTTCAATTTATATTTTATTGGTATAAAAATGAGACTCATACCCATAAGCAATTAACTTATAAGTAACACACTTCTAAAATGGACGCTGCAAGTGAAAATAGATGCATTAAAGCAACACATGTAGGTCAACAGAGCAAAGTGAAATGACCCAGAGTTTTCACCACCACCACCGTCAAGGTACCTATCAGACGCCTATGTAAGGATGGCTCGCATTGTTAATCAAAATGGTATTTAAAATATCTCCTCAGTAGGTCATCAGAACTTTACAATACAAGCAAAAGTACCCGTCCCTAGTGAAGGGAAAAGCTTAAGTCACTCTGTCAATTTAAATTATTTCGTGGACTTTAAAAAGGTTAATTGTGTTGCACTTTTGGTTACACTGAGTCTGAGCTACTTATACCACTCATTTTGAAAAGTAATTGTTGAGCAGTTCAGTCATGCTAAGAGCCGCTCAACAATAACATGCGGTAAATCTACATTTTTATTATTTTAAGTCATTTTTGAAATGTGAATAATAGTGGGATTAATTCCTAACAATGTAGTGTAGAATATTCTACTTACGAAATTAAATTTGGCATCAATATTATTCATGCATATTCTCCTGTCATTCCAAAAGTGAATGTTGATCTTTGCCTCCATGCACAGCTTTTCAAACGCAGTATGGGAAGCGGCCACTGTAATCAGATGACAGACACCACGATTCACAATTTATAAGGTCTATACGATTACTGAGTCACAAGTTCTGGGAATGTCTGTAAATATAATAGCAAAAAGTTTGAATTTCTTGTTTTTCTTTCTTCTGTTTCTTTTTTTATCATTATTACAGGATCACTCAAAAACCAAAACCCTAAGGTGACACTGTTTCAAATAGAGTATCCACTTTTATGTGTTATTAATAACTAGTAGTGATTAAAAACAAAAGGGAATCCTCAATAGCCGTGGCGCTTGAAATTATTTTAGGTATAATTAGGGTAAATTAATCTATGAGACCTTTTTATTTTTATTAGCTACATTTTTTGTGCAGTAGCAAAACTAAGCGTGAGGCGCGCGTATACCCGATTCGGTTATATTACTTGTCAGGATATCTACCAGCCTAACCTCAAATTGAAATTCTTTTGGGCAGGATTAGAGTAAATTAATCTATGAAACCTTGGGCGTGGTCAAATACATCAATCGAAAGGGTTTGACCTCCTGAGTCCAAAACTGTAATTAGATCTCAAATCAGTCAAAAGATGACAGAGCTATGAGCTAAAAATTTGTGCTTGAAAAAAAAAACCCCCGTTCTATGAGCCACGGCTAAAATTCGTAATTCTAGTGTAAACGATATTACCATTACTCCTCGAAGTTAGCTTGATTACAGAAATTTACTGTTCCATTGAAAAGCTTACAAATTACTAGCCAATAATAGATAAGCAATAAATATAGAACTTGGTTATAAGTACAACCTTCCCATGTCTATTGAAACACTGTATTAAAAAACAAGTAAAAAAGAAAAACTTTTCAAAAAGGGAAGTACATGTTGGGATGGTTAACATCAATCCTTCAAAAACAATGCAAACAAGATAGTAGGGTGGCATTTGCTCATTCCTTCATAATACACAGGCAATAATTAAAGTATAGCAATATATATAACTATTCAATCACAATTTAGTTTATCCTACTTTTGTCTGTTAACATTCCACTAAACTGTGTTTCTATGCTATAATGTAGGGATGATGCTGTTGCGTCATCGAGTCACATGACTACTGTGACGCAACGTTTCTAGAACTATCATGTACTTTGGCGAATGTTCTAGTTCTTACTAGATATAGGGTAGGCTGGTATATAAAAGAGGGGAAGGTAATGTGTGT